TCTCCAGCAGTTGATCTTCTTGCACAGACCTGCTGGATTCACCTGATTTATTGACAAATGGGTTGCGGATTTATTCCTTTGGCAGTTCATGGGCCCTTCAACTTCTTGTTTTTGTTCTTCTGCGTACTGTTTGTGTTGCTCTGCAATAACACTTCCTAAATACTAGCTGGAAGTAGGTTTGTATGTACCTCTGCGTTGAGTTTCTTCTTGCGTAACCAAGAGAGTACGGTAATACTTCAAATTTTTTTAAACATAAGATTTTTCAGACTCATATAATAAACACAACTGAAATAATTTATTTCTTTTGCAGCTCGCTACCAATTAATCCATGGCCCGGGGGTTGGGGACCACTGCATTACAGTATTTCTTCATGTTAGTAACTGTTAGTTAATGAAAATACAGTTGTTCATTGTTAGTTAACTCGGGTGCATTAATCAGCATGAATGTGGATTTTAATATTGTATTAGTAAATTTTTAACTATGATTGTTAAACACTGCACAATTATCGTTCATAGTTAGTAAATACAATAACGTTAACCAGTAGCTAGCTCTCTGCAACACTCACATGGTCGCCCACTGAAGCTAAGCAGGGCTGCACCTGATCAGTAACCTGGATGGGAGACCACATGGTAAAGTTAAGCTACTGCTGGAAGTGGTATTAGAGGGGCCAGCAGGAGGGGCTCAATCTGTGGTCTGTGTGGGTCCTAACGCCCCAGTATATTGATGGGGACTCTATACTGCTCAGTGAGCGCCGTCTTTTGGGTGAGACGTTAAACCGAGCTCCTGACTCTTTGGTCATTAAATATCGCAGGATGTCCTTCGAAAATTTGCCCAGTGGCCTCTGTCCATAATGGCCTCCTAACTATCTCCATATCATAACTGGCTTCATCACTCTCTCCATCAATCAGCTGGTGTGCCAAAAAAATTCCCACCCAAAAAATGTGTAAAGCGGTTTGAGTGTCCAGAAAAATCGCTATATAAATGTAAGAAATTCATTCTTTTTCTTTTTGGTTTAGTCCCTTTATTAATCAAGGGTCGCCACAGCGGAATTAACCACCAACTTATTCAGCATATGTTTTACACAGCGGATGCACTTCCATGTAAGTAATTATTAATTATTATAATATCTAATGAAACCTTATTGTAAATTGTGACCGATTTCTTTCTTTCAATCATCTGTGTCAGTGATGACGGATGTTGCATGCTAAGAATAATCGTGAATGAATTGCAGCCAACACAGTCTTGTGTCTCAGTCAACCTTGACAGTGACTATTCTTTCACCTGACAGAAAAATTGCTTCATTCATTACATTGCAAGCCAACAAGCTCTCTTTTAGTTAACACAAGTGAGTTTCAGTCCATGGATCATTCATAAACATTTGATATGTACTGCATACCAAAGTGGGAAGAGGTTTCTGAAAAACGGTGATCTAATTGACTGGCTGATCTGATTCCGAGGACTCAATCTCAGTGCTCTGGGATCCAAAGATGCTTTGACAAGTTTATTATATTTCACCTCTCTTTTGCATGAAGAAAATGAAGGTCGTTAAGATTTAACGTTATTTTATGACGAGCATTATAATCACTGCTCCCCCAATTCTCATTAGTTTTACGTTTCCTCCTCATTATTCTGATTGATGATTCTCGTTAGATTGTCATTAATATAATGCATTCTATTTTTGCAATATTACAGTATCAAATTACAGTAATCGACTTTGTGTGAATCAGGACTCTTAAAGTACAGCACACATTATGATTTTAATAATACAAAGTTATTATATAAAATATTTCGTATTCAGGCCTGTCACAGTAATCAGTATATCGACTTATCGCACAACAAGTGGACACGTCCTCAAACATTTTTGGTGATGAAATATATATCGCCCATACATAAAGACCAATCCTAACCACATTTTAGCTGATTGCATAACCTCTTGATCTCTATTAGAGGTTTCAGTGTCTGTATGGTTAAAAAACACTTTAGTATTTACTATAAATTATGACTATTTTCATGTGCGTGCCTGATGATTGAAAATAGCTGTTACTTTTTCTTTTTTTTTTTTTTTACCTTGAGCATTTTTGTTTAGGTTTTTGTTTCAAAGAATAATTATTAAATTGTTTAAATGACTATTATTAAATTAAATATTCTTAGATTTGGACAACAAAATTTATTGCGATATGCGATAATTTTAAGACGCATTATGATGTTATTATGCTGTGTTCACACCAGACGCGGCAAGATCGGCTAAATTACAATATTCGCGCTTCAAATTCACTTCACAAGACGTGCAAATTTGTGTCATGGGCAGGGCTTCTGTCTGCCAGGTGACTCTAGCTGCGTTACTAAGTGGCTAACATGGATTTTATTGAGAGAATAGCTGTGTTTATGTGCTATATGAAGGCTGAAAAACAGCATAGATTTATTTGGAGCCGTGGTTGAATCCACTAGATCCTTTCAGAGGTGCATCCAGCTCTGTGAGCTTATAAACTCCTTCAGAAACTATACCTGGATGATGGAAGCTTTCAGCGGTGCTTTTGACTGAGCTGAGCCCAGTTTGATGAACTGTTGTCAGTGTCAGCAGGATAATTTTCCCACGGGACATCAACAACAAGTGCTAAGTCATTATCACATCCTAATTGGTTAACATGGCGTGAATGTCCGCTGAAGTTCAGATTTTTAAACTCGCTCGAAACATGCAATACGCGCAATAATTGCGTCAATCGAGCAAAACGCTCAACTCGCGCTGCTTCATTTGAGCGAATCGTGTCATTTGCGCCGCCTCATTCACGTGTATCGCACCGCAGGATGTCTATTTGCGTCTTTGCATTGACTTCAATCACTCGAACTTGACGCTTCTTCCGCGTCTGGTGTGAATGCAGCATTAAAGTATCAAAATGGTCTTAAATTGACATGTGCAGGTCTATTTGTATTGGAGTTTAAAATTAATTATATTAATTTTATAAATTTAATATATGTTAAATTATCATGTTTTAGCATAATGAAAAAAAATCTGTACAGAAAGTAGAGTTGGGCAATGTCGACCAATTTGGCATTGTACAATTTTTAATGTAAAAACATTGCGATGGACGATGGCATCGTTTTCGTAGGCGGTGGTGGATTAATTATTTATGAATAATTAACTCATTCATAATGAATTAAATGTTTTTAACCTACTGTTTCAACTACCGGACCCGCCTGGTCTTTGTTTTATCCATAACCAAATCATAAATAAATAAAGATAAGTTACACACAAACTACCACGTGTCAATCTCTTTTTCCGCAGGACTCTGGAGAGGGGTCTGGATGTAGACCCGGTGCAGTGCAATCTGAGTTGCATCCAATACTTTTTAAATGCGCTCACCTAACCCAACCCCTAACCTTACCCATAACAGTGATGTCACTCACTTCATTGAGTGCATTGTGTCCGACATTGCATCGCTGAGTGTGCAATTTCAGCTTGCATCATAAAGACTGCATCCAGATACTAGGCAGAGTGATCTGAGTCATTATAATGCCATCAACAAACTTGGTTGGTAAAAAATGTGCACAACCAACAGTATCTGAAGTTTTTGATAGAACTTCTAAGTACAATAGTGAAAGCAGAGTTTAAAGCAGTGTACTGACGCTCTGACACGTTACCTGATAGATTCAAAAGACCGAAGAGTCGTTACATAGGGACAAGATGAATTAAATATCAAGTCTAACAACTATAGTGAGACTTGATCCAACGGTACATCCTTGATAAAATGTCCGATGTGCAATGCTCTCTGGGGTTTTGTGCTCAAAGCACCTGCTGACTGCCTGGAGCTCAGACGTGCGCATACGCTGCAGCGCATGACAGAGTGTGTGTGGTCACGTGATGTGTGTTTTAAGCGGTATAGTGTGGAAGGAGGGTTTTTCAGAAATGCTAGTTGAAACGCCAGTGTGGACGTGGATCGTTTTCATTCCAAAATGCCATTTTAAAGCTAAGAAATATTAGTGTAAACGGGGCCTAATTGTATATTTTTTGGGGGCGGAAGATTGTGATGCCGGCTTGGCATCGTGATGTCTATTGGCCATCGGCAATGGACAAAAAAAAAAAAAAATGGAACAAAAAAATCACCAATATATTACAGTTTTTGTTCATGTTATTTAATGTTAGTTAATGAAAAAAATGTGTTCATTGTGGTTCATGTTAACTCATGATCTAATGTTAACACATGATTTCAATGCTAATAATGCATTAGTAAATGTTGAACTATGATTAATAAATGCTGTACAGGTGTTTTTCAGTTAGTTCATGTTAGCAAATACATTACATTAACTAATGCAACCTTATTGTAAAGTGTAAACAATAATATGTCTCACCATCATACAGCATAACATATATTTATATATATAAATAAATAGACACACACACACACACACATACACACACACACACACACACACACACATATACATACACATATATACACACACACATATATATATATATATACATATATATATATATATATATATATATATATATATATATATATATATATATATATATATATATATATATATATATATATATATATATATATATATATATATATATACATACATACATACATACATACATACATACATACACACACACACATATATATATATATATATATATATATATATATATATATATAAAATATTCTGACATTAACTTATTTAAATATATAAAACAGTAACTGAAAGTGTTTTTAATGTGTCTTAAAGTCAATAAAAAGAAAACAAATATATATATACCTGAAACATCTTTGCATATTATTAATAAAAAAAATATTTTTTTTATATATTTACACAATTATTTTTTTTTTACAAAAAATTATGATTTCTAATCCAATGATTTCTGCCATAAATGAAATCAATAATGTTGACGCATACAATATATTTTTGCCGTGTGCCAAAACCATGCCTGCGCAACAGTTTTGTAGTACAGGCCAGCATTTAATATCTATAAGCACTAGTGCACTCACTTGAGCGTTTCAGCCAGGTAGAAGCTCTGCTGCACGTCATCATGGTTTGGATTGTTGCTGTAAACATCTCGCACTCCGCTGTAACCTCCCTCCACCCTGCAGTGCTTCTCCAGAGCCTGAAACACACGCAAAAATGCAATCGTCAGCATCAACACAGGAAAACAATGCTGCTCACTGGCCTAAGTCACAACAAACACAGCACACTGTCTTTAGCAATACTGGCCCTCGAGATCCACTTTCTTGCAGAGTTCATCTTACTTAAGACTTAAGTAATTGTGAAGAGCTTGGAAGTGTTATGTTGGGTACATACGAAACATAGAATTAAGTATATGCTTGACTAAATTAAATTAAAATTCAATGTAAACACTCAACTAGAGGCAAATTTTTGTTGAGTAGTGCAAATGATGCTGAATGTGTACATCTGTTTCAAAGGCGATCTCACTAAAATTTGAAGATAGTTGGACTTGTGATCAAAAAGGTCACAGGTTTAAGTCTTGACAGCAGAGAGTGAATAACCAGAGCTCTCACTTCCCTCGGCTGAGAATTTGCTCACTGCTGAGGTGAGACCCTTAAATAAGGCACTGATCCCACCTGCTTTTCAGGTGCCGCAGCAATGGCTGCCCACAGCTCCAGGTGTGTGTGTGTGTTCATTGCTGTGTGTGCGTGGTTGGATGGGTTGAATGCAGAGTACAAATTGTGCTTTGCCACATGTCACGACTTTCCTTTAAAAAATTTAATATTTCAAACAAATGAAATCGTAAAAATTTCTTCTCCACTTCTCTGACAATACGTAAAACAGTTATGTTTCCTCGTGACATCAGGCTGAATACTCTGGTCTCTAGACAAACATGGGGATCCTCCATCAATCTGTAGAATTTTTTGCCAATCTTGTGGTCTATCAGGGATAAATTATAAGTTCTCAAAAAGTACCTGCTCAGAAAAGTAACAGCACAGATCACCTTAAGCAGACTAATGATTTATTACTATGGAAGTCAATAGCCCCTTTCACACATACAGACCTTTCCGGAAAATTGCCGGCAATTTTCCGGAAAGGTTGTATGTGTGAACAGGTCCTTTTTGAAAATACCGGTAAATTCGTTCTGGCTATTTTCCGGAAAGAGAAGTTGTAACATTACCGGCAATTTGCCGGAATGCTGCGCTGTGTGAATGCAGATGGAAGATTGCCGTAATAAGCGCGTGCACGTCTAGAACGTGCTGACGTGAAACGTCTGCTTAAGCCAATCACAACAGTCACACGCATTTACGTCCGCGCGGTTTGTGAGAATAAAAGCCTTTGAATATTTTTCCAGACACATTTAGCTGCTAGAAGTTAGTCAGATCACGTTTATATGTTCTTCTTTATGTCAACTGTGTAAATAATCATCGATGAGATGCTTATGATAAGCCGTTGTTTGTTTACGTTCGTGTGCCTGTGAAACAGCCTGTGAGCGCCTGCACACGCACATATTATGAACATCTCGACATGCGAAAGTGATCCTGCGAAAGTTGTTCACAATATTGATCATCCACAGAGTTTGTAATTTAGTCAAATGTTTACAAATACAAGCGCAGCCGTTTAAAGCTCATTTGTGGTGAATGATGTCAGAATTTACCGGTATTTTGGAATGGATGTGTGAATGCTCTTTTCCGGAAAATTTCCGTAACGTCCTCGCCTGTGTGAACAGCGCTTTTTTGAATATACCGGTAAAGTCGTTCCGGAAATTTTCCGGATATTTACCGGTATCACTGTGTGAAAGGGGCTAATGAGTGCCAGAACCAGCATTCTTCAAACTATCTTCTTTTGTGTTTAAAAGAATACAGAAATTTTGGGTGAACTGTCCCTTTAATATGATGTACTGCAGACATCAAAATCTTCTTAGATTAGCCTCTTCTTTAAACTGTATACACTATAAAATACTTGATGTGTTGCAAATCAGCCACTTTTCATGCTAAAACCCCCATCTAACACTTTATGTAATGTTAATGAAACCAGAGCCTTTAATGGGACAGCAATTTGTGCTCTATTTGTGAGAAGCGCTATAACAATCAAACCGATTGGCATTTGTGGTGGTGTTAAAAATGCAGCAAATGAGTTTTAAGATAATGAAGATCTAACAACAAGCAGAGAATCGAGAGTGTTGAGCCAGCAGATTTTACGAGAGGAGAGAGGAATAGCGAGAAGCAGAGATGTGATGTATGGCCTGAAGGGATAGACACATCACAATGGCAATCTCAAGTCATTATGATACAATTACAAGGCTGTAAGATCCTGGCGGTCTCCATTGTCTCTAATCCTGCAGTGCTGAAGTGCGGGGAGCATCTGAGGCCAGGGATAAAGCCTCACCGTGACTCACAGTCTGGCCTACATCCACACACTAATGCGCTGACGTGTTTACCAGTCACATACTGGTTGACGTTATGTAATAAGCAGGAGTGGGAGATAAAAATCAATATGCTGATTTCTCACAGTGTTTCTGGCTGTGAGATGTAGGAGAAACTAACAGTGAGATACAGCATGAGTAATGATATACAGTATATGTATATATTATTTTATAATGTTTCTTATTTTTGCTAACTTCTTGTCTGTACCTCTTAAAAACATGATGAGTTCATGTTGATCATTTCAAAAAATGCTTCCCTTTTCTTTTTTCCTCTTTCCTCCCTTTTATCTCCCCTTCCAATCTGTTACTCTTAGCATGCCATTTTCTATGCCTTTACTTTCTTTACTCTTATCAGCAGTAACAGTAGTAACAGTAATCAGTTATGACTATAACCATTATTGTTATTCATATTATTATTATAATTTCTATTATTATTATTATTATTATTATTATTATTATTATTATTATTATTATTATTATTATTATTATTATTATTAATAGTAGTAGTAGTAGTAGTTCTATTATGATTATTATTATTATTAGTAGTAGTAGAAGTAGAAGTAGTAGTAATAGTAGTAGTAGCAGTAATATAGTTATTATTATTATTATTATTATTATTATTATTATTACTATTATTATTATTATTATTATTTGTATATTATTATTATAATTATTGGTATTATTATCATTATTACTACTATTATTAAAAATAATAATCATAATTATTATTATGGGCGACACAGTGGCGCAGTGGGTAGCATATTCGCCTCACAGCAAAAAGGTCGCTGGTTTGATCCTCGGCTCAGTTGGCGTTTCTGTGTGGAGTTTGCATGTTCTCCCTGCGTTCGCGTGGGTTTCCTCCGGGTACTCCGGTTTCCCCCACAGTCCAAAGACATGCGGTGCAGGTGAATTGGGTAGGTTAAATTGTCTGTAGTGTATGAGTGTGTGTGTGTATGTGTGGATGTTTCCCAGAGATGGGTTGTGGCTGGAAGGGCATCCGCTGCGTAAAAACTTGCTGGATAAGTTGGTGGTTCATTCCGCTGTGGCGACCCCAGATTAATAAAGGCACTAAGCCGACAAGAAAATGAACGAATGAATTATTATTATTATTATTATTATTACTACTACTACTACTACTACTACTACTACTGCTGCTGCTGCTGTTGTTGTTGTTGTTGTTGGTATTTGTTTACATAGATTTTCTGTCTCACATGGATTGGAAGGCATGTTTGTCTTTGGTTTTGATTTATTTCTTTTGTATTTCTATGGTCTTATATTAAAAAACAACTAACAAACAAATAAACAAACAAACAAGAAAACAAACAAATACATAAATAAATATACATAAATAAATATACATAAATAAATAAATAAATAAATAAATAAATAAATAAATAAATAAATAAATAAATAAATAAATAAATATTTTAAACAAAGTTCTTTCACAATTCCGTTATTGGGTATTGTGTGTTTTTTTTTGTAAAATTTTGAGGAAAATAATCAATTTATTCCTAAAAATTAACTCAATTTGAATTTAGAATAAAGCTGCAACACAGAACTGTGATCACTTTCTGGATACACTGCAAAATATAGCCAGTATATTGTGAGTTAATCTGTGATTCCCACTGGGAGTAATAAGAATGACGTGAAATCCGTACCTGCACTGCCTCCCAGCCCCATTGTCTGTATTTGGGGTCATGGGTAAACCTCCACATGTACATGTACGTCTCGATGACCTCTGGCCTCAGGATGAAGTATTTCTCGTTTTGCCGAGTGGCGATGGCCTCCACGCCGCCGTCGAAACGAAACGCCTCAGGACCCAGTTTCAGATCTAAAACACACAAGCAGACAAATTTGAGATGGAAATGTTCATGCTGACAAGGGATTATGGGATTACATTCCTGAGATGAAGAGAAACACTAGCTGGATGTGGATTAAGGGTTGTGGCATAATCTGAACCTTTGATAATCTGTGCACGATTAAAATACCTACGCATTATGAACAAGCCAGTGATGAGGGTATATGTGTGTTTTAACAAGTGCCAGAGGGATTTGTGTGTGTGTGTGTGTGTGTGTGTGCGTGTGTGTTTGTTCAGGGTTGACTGAATTAGCAAAAAGCTACTTGACTAGTACAGTCAGAAATCTCCTGCCAAAGCACAGATGCAGTAAAAGACTTCACTGGGTGAAGATTATTGAGGGGAAAGTACTGTTTTCTTATATATATATATATATATATATATATATATATATATATATATATATATATATATATCTCAAACATGTTTAGCAAATGTCACTATTTAACATAATAATAATAATAATAATAATAATAATTTAAAAATAATGGTTAAAAAATGTAAGAATACAAGAAAACAAATATGCTATGTTTAAAACAAATATGTAAAAAAAAATTAATATTTGTAATCAAAACAGTGTACATTTAATTATTTTACAATTCATATAAAATGTTTTACTGTGATTTTCCACAACACTTTATTACTGTAACATTTAATACATATTGTGTATATAGTTTATATATACCCAAGTATTATTTACATATTTGATTTAAAACCCAAAGTATAACTTCCCGTTATATTAATCATCATTTCTTATTCTCCTTTAAGTTATTTTGAACCTAATTCAATACTTTTTTAACTGTCTTAATATATTAGGTAACAACTTTATTCTCATTACCATTATATAGTAATTTTTACCAATATATACATTTTTTTTTAAATTAATTTATTTATTTATTTATTTTTAAGATTCTTCTAACCAGAATAGGTCAATATTTAACAATCTCTATTTCTAAATATTTCCCTGATAATGTTTAACAGAGCAAGAAAATTTTCACAGCATGTCTGATAATATTTTTTCTTCTGGCAAAAGTCTTACTTGTTTTGTTTCGGCAAGAATAAAAGCAGCTTTAGATTTTTTTAAAACCATTTTAGAGTCAAAATTATTACCCCCTTTAAGCTATTTTTTTATAATATATATATACGCCTTTTTATAATATATATGCCTAATTACCCTAACCTGCCTAGTTAACCTAATTAACCTAGTTAAGCTTTTAAATGTCACTTTAAGCTGTATAGAAGTGTCTTGACAAAGATCTAGTCAAATATTATTTACTGTCATCATGGCAAAATCAATAAATAAATCAAAATAAGATAAAATAAATCAGTTATTAGAAATGAGTTATTAAAACTATTATGTTTAGAAATGTGTTGAAAGAATATCTAAATATTAATAATATTAAATAAAAATTGGGAGAAAAAGTAAACAGGGGGCTAATAATTCAGGGGGGCTAATAATTCTGACTTTAACTGTGTATATTATGTATAATAGTGACAATAATAACAATCAAAACAACAACAATAATCATAAATAATAATAAATATTATATTTTATAATATCTTTCTAGTAAATAAAATAGGGGGTCAAAACAGGCTTAGTATACACACACACGCACACGCACACACAGGAAACATTTACTACTAATTGTTTAAAGATTGTGAAAGCCCACTCACTTGTTCGGACGTAAGACTCATGACATGTGCGGGCGATCTCAGCCGCGAGCTCCATCTGGTGACCCGTCTTCTCATCAGGGGCTCCGTCTGCTCCTAAAGCGATCATCCCGCCGGCGAAGCAGGTCAGGTGACCCATCTTGTGCTCCAAGAGTCCACCTTTCCATTCGGCGATATACGTCAACCCTCCGCTCGACTTCCGGATCAGATTTTTCTCAATCGCCTGCGCACAGAGCACAAAAACTACAGATTAATTTAAGTGGCTTTTCAACATCAGTTTCTTCACTTAGTGTTTATCCACAGTGTGTGTGTTAAGAACTTTGTCCTTGTTTGAATAAGTTTTTTGTGTGCTAGCTTAATACAAAAGGAAACATTCAAGGCTTCGGAGGGATTCGATCCTCTCAAAAGCGTCATGAGAAACTGTGTAAGGCCCGAGGTAAGGGAAAACCATAGCAGAGATCAGGGTCACAGCTGTGTGTCAGAGATGTGTATTTACAGAAGCATCGCGCACACACACACACACACACGTACACTCGGGAAATGAGATTCTTATCTGTCTGGAAAAAAACGGCCTCTGTGCGTTTGAATGGAAAACTGGAAATGTTTATAATCACCATGGCACCAAATGGACGTAAGAAACAAGTAATGCGTCTGACTCTCGCTGTTTCTTACATCACTCTCTTTGTACTATTATTTCATCATAAATGTGGCAGCAGTGTTCTGGAAAAGCTCTCTTTCAATTCCTTGAATAAAATATTCTGTTCATGTAAGGATGTCTTTTTTGTTTATACAGTATAGCAGATTTGATTCAACACTAGGTATGTTTTCATCCAAAGATGCTAATTGAAATTTAAATACTACATACTCCTGTACTTTCCTTATTATTATTATTATTATTATTATTATTATTATTATTATTATTTTTGTCTATGGGGATTATAAAAAATTCATCCTGTGATTCCTGTCCAATCAAATCGCACATAGAAGGCAAATCGCCTCATAATGAACTACCCCAAGACATGAGCTATTCATAATTGCAGCAAACTGTTTGGAAGCATTAAAAGTGTCCAAAAGAAGATGTCCAAAATCTTTACACGTATTGACTCACAGACTGACACTGATGAGAAGATTACGGATGTTTACTGTGTGATGACCGAAATGGCCTTGACAGCCAGCAGGCATAGGTCAACATGACGTCAGATTAACGTTGTACGCTAACGTTGTGGGGACTAGGCATGGGTACCAAAACTCTGTACTTTATTGGTATCAGTACTACATTATAAAAGACAGAAGTATCGATAAGCTCTGGCGTTAACGATTCTGCTATCGGTACTGGAGAATTATTGCTGAATAAACATTACTTACAGTAGCATAATTTCCTGACCAACCTTTTCTAATTTAGATCAGCTGTGTTTCCAAATATAGCCTATGAATAGCCTAATATTAAACTATGCTTATTAAGAAATTATAAAAACATTTTTTTACATTGCAAGATGCTTTAAAACTGTATTAAAAACACAGTCAACTCCCAAAACACTGTTAAGTCATTTATGTGAACGCGTTAATGAAAAATCATAAACATGATCTCATTTAACTGCATTTTGCAACTCAAAGATGGTATTTTCAACTGCAGGGAGCACAATAAATCAAGAATGGTCCTGACTTTTGCCAGAAAAGGCAAACATGTTGATTTTTCTCCAGAAGAATGGTTAAATCTGAGAGTCATTTTCCTTCAAATAATTGTACACTTTTTTACAGGAAAAAAAAATTATTTGTTTTACAATTATTGGTTTCATTTTATATTACATTAAAAATGTAATAATAAAATAAAAGTTGTTAATTCTCAATTCTTCAATTTGTTTCATTAAAAAATACAAAAAAATAAAAAATAAATAAATAAACGATAAGACAACCGGTAAAGAATCGAACAGATAAGTGGTATTAATAAAACTAGTGATACAGTTAAATCCTAGACGATACCCATCCTTAGTGGGGATGTTGCAGTTTGTTTTGGAAAGAAAATCATTTTGAAATCAGTACCCAACGTCAGGCCGGCGTCAATGTCCAATGTTCAACCTAAAATCAATGTCTAATGATGTTACAGCTTTACGTTGTGTGAATGTTACCACTATGATGTCCGTCAGATGTTGGATTTTGGTTATGTATTATTTAATATTTTATTTATTATTTTATTTGGCTTTATTTTATTGAATATTTTATTTACTATTTTAATTAGTTTTATTTGATCTAAAATGTCATTAAATTTTTATGTAGTGTTATTTTATTTTATACTTTATTTAATATTTTTTGTTTTATTTGATGTAATATTCAATTTAATATTTTATTTTATTTGATTTGATTTAATATTTATTATTTAATTTATTGTTTTATTTAATATTTTACTTAGTTTTACTTAATCTAATATTTTATTTAATATTTTATTTAGTTTTATTTGATATTTTATTTCATATTTTATTTAGTTTTATTTTATTTGATATTTTATTTAATATTTTATTTAGTTTTATTTTATGTATTATTTAATATTTTATTTCATATTTTACTGAGTTTTATTCTATTAAATGTTTAATATTTTTTTTTATTTTATTTGACATTTCATAATTTTAGTTTTATTGTATTTATTATTTTATTTAATATTTTATTTAATATTTTATTTGTTTTACTTCTGTTTATTCGACTACATACAATAGAATTTCTCCAGAAGAAAAAAAAAATAATAGCAAGATTTTTTCAAACTTTGTTAAACATCACTTAGTCTGCCATTTAAGAATGACTAAAACAATAATTGGGATGCCGTTTTACCAGACTAGTCTACTTATTCCAATCACATGATGCCTTGAGGCAAAGTCACATGAGCTTTTGTAAAGTATGATGAAGTAATAATCTTGAATGTGCTCTCTGTCTGTTCAATACTGGATCTTATATCACTGGAATAACAACAGACAGTTCATTATCCCATGTATAACTACTGTCCCAAACAAACACAGACATGGATATGCAAATACTGATTTTAATTTAAGTTATGCTATACCGCAAAAAGAAAGCAGTCTAGAAAGAGGCATAAAGCCAGAACAGAGCACAGTTACTTTAGCGTTCAGCATTTCTCTAATAAAGCGATAAACTCAAACTGCTGCAACACATCAGCCATCATTGCCGTGATGTCCTTACTTTTCCAAACAGCGCAAATAATCGAATGCTACAGCTGAGAGGAGCAGATGAAAGGAGATGATTGAATGGCCTATCCATGGTTAGTGAGATAAATTAGGTGAGATCAGGCTGTACGGAGAGAGTTAAAGGCCTGATCAAGAGCTTTCTGTAGCGGTAATGAAGGCTCTGGGTAAAATGGTGGACAGAATGGCTGTGCAATAAGCTTTCTATGAAGGTGACCGACATAATGCACTTCTTTTCTTGGATGACTGGCCTGGAGTCCAAAGTGTGTGTGTGTGTGTGTGTGTGTGTGTGTGTGTGTGTGTGCGTGTTTGAATGACTCTAGGGAGGAAGCCAGACAGACGGCCAGAGGGACAGCATTATCTTAGGCAGGTTGAGATGGTTCTCTCTAATGAAAGTCAGGATTGAGTTCGTGGTCTGTAACAATCAGTCTGCAGCAGCTTTCCAAAGCTCTCATGTATGGCTCAAGCAACACTCCCGCACACACTTTACATTTTTACAGACACCTTGAAGTGGAATGCTAACTTGCAACCTGAAAACCTGCAGAAGACAAATTTCTCAATGTCCACGCTTAGGGAGAACAAACTAAAATTTACAATGCAAACACACTCAATTTATGCAGTGGAAAAAGACTGGAAAAACTCGAGGGGAAAAATTTACAATGGAAAATAGAACCTCTTTTGTTATTCTAGTAAATGCATTTTACATTGATGATTTTATATGTAATGCTTTTTATTTATTTTAGCATTATTTATAAAGGACATTTAAATTAAAAAGAGAAAAGGAAAAATGACAGCAATACTGATAAATAAAAGCAAAAATCCTACAACAGCTGCGCATAACGTGCATTGAGCAACCATTTGAATACTGATAGGAGTTAAAAATGTAAAAATAAGAAATATTCCTGTTACAAAAACACATTGATCTACTTTATAAGAAATGAGTTAACCCCTTGTCTTTTTTGTCCCCAGATTGTGTCTGTAAAGTTTCATTTCAAAACACCTATCAGATTATTTATTATCCGTTTCAGAATATTGGATTTTCTGCTCTGGACACAATGTAGCTGTTTTATTTTAGCCTTTAATGCTTCACAATGTAGCTGTTTTATTTTAGCCTTTAATGCTAGATCTTCCCACCCACCGTTCCCACGTGCCTGTTAGAATGTGCCTCAATCTCTGCATCTGCTACATCAGATAAACAGCACAGTGACGGACATGAAAGAAGCAGATCTTTTGTGAGAAATACTACAGGAAAAACTTTCCCAATGCTTATTTGATGTATTTGTTGTGGAGTTAATTTAGGCCTTTCTGCAATGATGAGTGAAACACAATGTCGTTATAAAGTTCACGCACATATACACACACACATTTTACTTCGCACTGGAAATTGCATTTTTGCACAGCAAATGTGACAGAATGTGTCCACAAACTGGGATTGAAGCGTCTTCTTTTATAACTGTACTGACATATGGCTGTGGTAATAAAGAGGGTAAAATCGCTGGTACATCATTATAAACATGCACTGTTTTAACAACATTTTAAACTTGTTAAACTCATTTTGGATCATATTTGATGATGACTGATGATCACGGAGAGCTGAACAGATCTTTTAATCCCAGTTGCTTTGCCCACATTCTGTCTTGTCTATACGATTATACTCATTACAGAGTATACAGAGTCATTACAGAGACATGTTCATATGCTACTGTCAATCAATTTGGTGGGTGGGGAAACCGCACTCCTACATCATGTTGCGTTGGGTCGTAAAATGGGAAGGATTTGAATCCTATTTTAACATCAGGACATTAAAAAAAAGAGACTCGTTGTCTTTATATCAGCCCAATATGACTGGAAACACTATACCTACACAGAGTTCTGTCCAAACAGCTTACAAAAGATGGTTTTCATCATATGTGTCTTTTTGATGCACTTTAAATTTAGCTTTAAATTAAATTAAAAGTCACTATCCAACACCTTTATAAAGCTTAGAAGGGACAGGATAGAATGTTAAACTATTACGACTGTGTTCGAATGACAGAAAACAAAGTCATATACACCAAGGATAGCTTGAGGGGGAGTAAATAATGTGATGATTCCTATTTTTCATTCAACCTTTCCTTTAAGGCTTTTTTTTGTTATCTAGGGTCACATATATGAGCCCAACTCTCAAAATCAACTAGAACCACACATAACTGAAGTGTGGGTATCTTGAGTATTTTGCTGACACAAGTATTTTTTTCTAGAAGCCAAAGTCAGCAGCGACTGGCCATTTGATCAGGTGCCCTGTAGAGTGTAAGATTTCTCTGGGTTTTTTCTCGCTGTGTAACAGTGGTCTTTTACCTGCAGGGCATCATAGTAGAGCTTTTTTCCTTCCTCGTCAATTTTGTCTGACATGAGCCAGGCCTTCAGCAGGTATTCGTAGAAACTGTCCCCTAAGCCTCCAACTGAGACGTGATCTGCAACACAGCAAAAACAGCAAGTGTTTGGAAAACCCCCCTTACACATTTATCTGCAGTCACAATGGTCTCCCTTAGGACTGCATTAAACAGAATAAACACAAATTATGGGACGTAAACAAACACACACACAAACTCTCACACAGCACAAGAAATATGGAGAGAATCTCTCATCTCACTGTATTGGTTTGTATAGTAAAATAAATTGTTTGGAGTTATGCAGCAACAACCTGGAGTGATTCACCTTCATTATGCATGTCAAAACATAGTAGAGTACACTGCTTAATGTTAATACTCCATAAAATACACTATAATAAACAATGAATGTTAATTTTTAAAATATTAATATTTAATTAAATGAAATATTTCCAATAGTACTGTACTAAAACACTAAGGTCTTTATTATGACATAAAAGTAGTACAGCATGCATATGTCACCCAAAAACCCAACCAGAACATCCAAGTGACCAATAAAAACACCCTAGCAACCTTTTAAAACTTTCTAGCTAGTCTTAGCAGACCCAATCAACCACCTAAAACACACTAACAACTCTGAGCTCTCTAGTAAGTGCACATTTTTAAGTCATCAAAGCAATTTCTACACCCCCCTATTAACCACTTAAAACATTTCAGCAACTATCTAGAAAACTCATTATCATTTAGAACATCCTAGCAAGTAGCAACTGTGTAGCATCTCCTAGAACACACTACTAAAACACTCTAGCAACGAAAGCACCTAAATCATCTTAGCAACAACCTAGAACACCCTAGCAATCACCTGAACACTTTAGCAACTACCTAGAACACTCTTAATAATCAATAAAAACAACTTGGCATCTACACAAATTATCTTAGCAATGACCTAGAAGACCCTAGTTACTAACTAAACACTCTAGCAATTAACCAAGAATAGCAACTACAGTTCCTAAATCATTGCAACAAGCTAGAACACCCTAGTAACTAATTTAAATACTCCAGCAACACCCTTGTGACTACTTAAACACTTCAGCAACTGCCTAGAACACTCTAGTAACCACTTAGAACACCCTGACAACCACCAAAATTATTTTAGCAACAACCTAAAACACCCTAGTTACCATCTAAACACTCTAGCAATTATCTACAACACCCGAGCAACCACTTAAAACGTTTAAACTACCTACTGTAGAGCGCTCTATTAACCACAAAGTTAACAACTACAGTACCTACAGTACCTAAGCTAACAACCTAGAACACCTAGAACTACCTTAAACACTCAGGCAACACCCTGGTTTATATAAAAACACTTCAGAAATAACAGAGAATATTCTAATAACTACTTCGAAAACCCTGATAACTACCAACATCATCTAAGCAACAACCTTCCTGCTGAAAAAAAACAACAACAAAAAAAAAAAAACAGCTTAAACCAGCCTAGGCTGGTTGGCTGGTTTTAGCTGGTCTACCAGCCTGGTTTTAGAGGTGTTTTGGCCATTTCCAGGCTGGTCAGGCTGGAAAATAATCAAGAACACTTTAATAACCACTTAGAACAACCTGGCAACAAACACAATTATCAACAACCTAGAACACCATAATTACCACTTAAACTTTCTCTCAATAACCAATAGCACCCTAGCAACCACTTACTATGTACTGTATAGCACTCTAATGACCAATTAGAATCCTCATAGCAATCTGGTTTTGGCTAGACTCCCAGCCTGTCTAGGCTGGTCAAGCTGGTTTTACTGTAGCTGGTCATCTCCCAGCCTGACCAGTTAGGACCAGGCTGGAAATGGTTAGAAACCAGCCTGGAAATGGCCAAAACCCCTCTAAAACCAGACTGGTTGACCAGCTAAAACCAGCTAACTAGCCTAGACTGGTTTAAGTTTTTTTTTTCATAGGGCAGAACACTATAGTTGATAGTTAAGCACTCTAGAAATGACCCACAACACCCTGGCAACCACTTAAAACAACTGAACTACTGTAGAACACTCTTACCACTAAGAATACACTAACAATGACTGTACCTTAATAATCTTAGCAAGAACCTAGAAGAACCATACTAAGTACTTTGAACACTCTAGAAACTACTTAAAAACACTTCAGCAACTACCAAAACACTTTCATAACCACTTAAGCCTGTTTTACACTGCAAGCAGCATGTGTTTTTTTCTGCGTCCATGTTACAGATTAGAGCTTTCATACCGCATGCAGAAGCAGCGCGTCAGTGCAAGACGTGAGCATCGTTGAAGCAGCAGTGCCACAATAATTTCGGCGCTGGGTCTATTTTTGCTGCGCTGCTCACGCTTAATTAAAGTGACATTGCATTGATAATGACCAAAAACACATTGTATGACAGTAGAAAGTAGCAATTCAATCAATTGAACTTAAACGATTAAAAATGGCAACAAATATTTAGTTGGGGCCAAACTCCAAACCAAAATTAAAACAATTTTAGAATCAGTTTTGCGTAAGTTGCACACTTGTTTGATCATGTATAAATACCATTATAATAATTAGATTGTATAAATATTATTATAACTATAGACCTACATCATCCTGACAATCAAAAATAAAATTACATGATATCCCAGGCAATTGTCTTCTGACCGAGTGCACCAGAAAATACATGAATGACACTCCTCATAGAGAGTGAGAAGCATACAGTTCTTTAGGATATATATAATTTGTAAAATAAAGACTTAGGTTAAGTAAATAACATAGGTAAAAGTTGCAGCGGGCCTTGGTGCAGATTAAATAAAAAAAAAAAAAGCGTATTTATGGATAGATGGGTAACTAGATAGATAGATAGACAGAGATAGATTGATCTGCACGCTGCAGACCCAGTCGGTGCGAAAGGCAAATGCCTGCGCGTTGCTTCTCTTCACACGCGCTGTGCACGCGCTGCTCATTCTCTGCTTGCGCTAGCAGTGTGAAACAGGCGTTAGAACAACCTGGCAACTACCAAAAATATCAACAACCTAGAACACCATAGTTACCACTTAAACTTTCTAGCAATTACCAATAACACCCAAGCAACTACTTAAAACAATTGATCTACGTACTGTAGAGCACTCTAATAACCAATCCGCTTAAGTGGGACGTCACGCGAAGCGGCTTCCGGGTCCAAGCGCTCTATTCAACTGAGTGGGGAGACTCATGAAATGGTAATAATAAACGTTTACAAAGCGATTTAATACTTTTGAAAGTCACGATCGCAATTTATATGTCCATGCCTAATATCCGATGGCCAGAAAGTGATTATTTTTTTATAAATTGTTAAATTTTTGGCATTTGTGATGCAGCAAGCCCAGAGATTGTTGTGTACACTATGATTTTATATAAAATTAACTTTAATGTGTGATAGGAATAAAACGTGATCATAAACGAATGATTTCTCCACTCAAATGAATGGCGACTTGAACCCGGAAACAGTATTACATACGTCATCACTTAACAAGCGGATAAATGTCTTTATAGCAACCACACAGAACTCCCTAACAACTATTTTTCAACACTGTAGCAACTATCTTGAACATCTTACTTGCCACTAAGAACACTAGCAACAACCTAGAAAACCAACAACCAATTAAAACACCCTAGTAACCACTTAGAGCACTCTAGCAGCTATCTACAACCCCCTCAAACAACTATCTGGAACTCTCGCTTGCAACTACAGTACCTAAATCATCTTAGCAACTAATTCATCACTTAGAATACTAGCAACAACCTTCAAGACCACATCAACCACTTAAAACCCCACAGTAACCACTCAGAACAATCTAGCAACCAACAACTACAGAACACCCTAGTAACCACTTAAATGAAGTTCAGGTTCTCATCAAATCTTCTGATCTATCAAATGGCTTCTAGTATCTGACATGTCCCACCCACTTTAAAACACTGAGTGATAAAACAAAACCCTACTGGTTGTTTTTTTTAAAAGGGGAGGAGCTACTATATGCCCCACCCTGTCTTTATATTTTAGTTGAGATTCATTTCTTAGATTCCTTGTAAGCATATCCATGTGGCATTTAAACTTCAGCTGTATTTTGCTTTATGTAGTGATATCTTGGATGACGCAGGTGTGTGAGTGTAAAACGAATGTGAATGTGTTTGCAGGTGGCAGTGTGTTTAGTGCTGTCCAGTCCACTGTGTGTGAGAGATGAGAATCTGTGGGTCGACTGTCTAACCGATGACCAAGCTCATGAATATTTATACCTCATTAGGCCCTTGTTTGTTTTATAGATACATCACGAGGAATCATACACTGCTGAGCTACTATTCAGAGCGAATGCGTGAAAAAGGAAAAGCCAGCATTTTGTTTTCATTCAAAGTCCCAATTCAAATGTCAAAGGGGTCTTTATGGTGGCCACTTAGTCTGGCGGCGTTCTGCAAAAACGTCTGAAATAGGCAGGTTTTTGTTAATCTTCCTCGGGGATATTCAAATTATGCAGCTCATGGGCCAAAATGTGCACCAGGGAGCGATGAATAAAATGACCCGGTAATAGCCAATACTTGACTCTCATATGGTTTTAAAATGTGCAGTGAGCAGCAATTACAGCCGCATGTGCCACATTCTGTCACAAGTGCTGTTCTTTTTAATTGCTAGAATATGAAGGTGAATTTAAAATGCATGTTTTATAGATGCTGCCAAGACTGTCAATAATGTAACGTCACATTTAATAAACCTTCACATATATCTCATTATGCAATTGTCAAGAAGTATTGCGCTATTCATCTGTAAAATCAATAATTGTGCTATCTAATACTAAGTGGATGCATCAGTCCATGGATAAACTTGCATGCTTTCATTTTACCTTTTGGTTTCACACACGCATATTTAAATATGCTGTAAAAGGTATGTCACCCTGTGCCAATCAGTGATGACAATATTTGCATATTCTGAGGCACTGCTTCACAATTATTGAAAAAAAAGTGTCTTTTTATAAAAATAATATTAGTAATGGAAAGCAAAGATGTTCATAAATTTTGAAAATGTGCATAAATGAGTAGGATAA